GTATAATTGATCTTATTTATAAGTTTTCTTTCTAGAGAGAATGCTTTCCAAAGGAAAATATGATATCTGAGTTAAGATCTAAAGGATGAACAGGAGGTAACTAAGGGAATAGAGGGAAAGAAGAATAATATTCTAAGCAAAGGAAATGCTTTGTGCAAAGGCAATGAGCCTGGAGGGAACGCCACTCCGAGGTCCAGACGATGATGACAAAGAGCTGACAGGCATAAAGAGTTGATGGGGCAGATAAGAAAAGCAAACAGCAGATTTAGAAATATTTAGCAGGTAATGCCAACACTATTTCATGAAGAATTTGATGCAAGATGCAAGAAGAATGAACAGATATAAGATTCCATGTTACTATAAAATGTGTTTGTATTTACATATCATCTATGAAATTGTTCGGCTTTAATTTAGCTTAAAATGTTGACTCCTTAGAAATAGTTTATTTAAAGAAATAAGCCCTCTGGTAACATAGATAACAGTTCTAATTGTAGACCACAGAAATGAGATAATTCGGGGATGGTAAGAAAAGAAGTAGAACCATATACAAAATAGGTACAGCCACGGACTTGTTTTCCTTGGCTAGGGAAGAAACTAGCTAAATGACCAAAGGCAGAGAACATCTCTGTGCTCCTCTTCCGTGGCAGGAAAGGCCGCCACCAAGTAAAGTATATCCATGGTAACATAACATGGTTAGCAGTGGCGGAAACGCAAATACTCGACTTAGAAAACTGAGAACCTAAGTGACTTAAGTGACTTCTGCAAAGAAGGAACTGAGAAGTATTTGTTGAATAAAGGCCCAACCTCACTGCTTAAAAATGAAAGGCAAAGCTTCAACACGACAGTTATTTCAATCTTGTAATTAATTTTTTTTCTCTTTTACTATGTTTATGAGGATCAGCTGCAGAGACTGGGATGCCAAAACACAGTAAAACAGTCTAGGCATACCCATACTCTGGGAATCACAGTGATTGTGTTATAGTGAACTCACAATGTATTCAAGAATCAGAGTCAAAAGACAGTGTTAAGGTCAAGTATGGTCAAACTACTATTGGAAATACTGGACCTGACTTTATGTACAAAATGCCACAAATGAGTTTGTTTCTTTAATTATTCATTAGTTAATGTTTCTCCAAGGCTCTCTAAGGCCTTCCGTTAATTCCTCAATTTCTTTCAGAATGTCTACGAAACCCTCCCCACACAGGTGCCAGGGACTATAAAAACATATCTCTTTTTTGCCAGCTATGCAAACAAAACTTGAGCACATCACACAATAACTAGTTCATTATCCGCCACAAATGGTAAGCTGGATTTGCAGCTGAATTCCCTTAGATTAAATGTGTCCACGATGTGATTCCCTGAAGGACTATTAACAGGGAGAAGTTACGGGAAGGCAGATTAGGATCTATTACGTTAAAGAATTAGGATTCGATCTGTCCTGATAGAGAATAGGTAGTCTTCCAGAACTCATCACTCAGTGTCCAAGCACAAGTTAGATGGAAATACTATGCGGTGGGGCTGTTTCAATAAGGAAGTATACTCGAGGGAAGGCCAGACCAGAGGATTCCAAAGTTCATGGGTCATTTTTAAGATTTACGAAAGAAAATTGTAAGTGATAAAATAAATTGAAGGCATTCATACAACAAATACTTCAAGTATTTCTTGGTTGTCTACAAATGTGCCATGCACTACTCAAGGCACAAGATATGAACTGAGAGAAACACTCCTTCTAAATACTAAATATTTCACTCTCTAAAAGGGAAGAGAAATAAGCAAACTAATAATTACAAATGCTGGTGGTTTTTTTACTAAAGCCAAAACAACATTCATAGATTGCTGAGTCGAGAGCTTTACCTTGTTCGTACAGCCTAACATTTCTAACACAAACTATGCAATGAAAGCCCTCCTCTCTGTTCAACTGTTCTGTGAACGGGATTTTCTCTCAAAGAGCAAAATTTTTATAAGAAGCATCTCAAGACTTTCCTCTAATAAGTCAGGAAATTTCTGTGAGGTAGTAAACAACTTCGTATTCTACTCTCATTTCTGAACAAAACTACTCTGAAAGGCAGTTAAGTCAAGGCCCTGGCCTTGAGAGAATAAATGATTTTACTGGCAGCAGAGAATTCTTTCAGAATTGTGCGTAGAGGTTTGTTCTGCATGTGTGTCTGGTAAAGCTCGAACAGAATGTGCATGTGTACCATCTCTGCAGAGAAGACAAAAATTTTTCTTTGTGGTCAAAGAATCCTTAGAATGAAAATCTTTCTAGATGAAGCTTCAAGGCTATTCAGTTTCCTAAAGAGTTTACAAATGGAAAGTCAATTTTGTGTACTACTTGGAATACAACTTTGAATCCTACTCCACTGGGTGATGAGGTCCACCGCTGAAAAGCTAGGAGGAGCTAAAAATCACAGATATCAGAAATATTATAAAGTTATGTGCTTAAGAGATGAGATATAGTCTGTCAGTTACTATATGATATCCTTAAACCAGCGAGGGAAAAAAGTTATTTAAAAGATCTGCTTCAATTTTTTCAGTTGAATTGCGTTCAATTTCAAGAACTCTCTGAAGTCCAGCCACAGCTTTAGAACCCTTTTATGTAAAGTGACTAGTATCAGGAAAGAAACAGGTATAGATTACAGGGCAATGACAAGAATACAAATACATACCATGTGAAGAGAGAAATTCCACAGAGAATACTTTAAGGGTCTTCAAAGTTTCAAAACAAGAACAGGTTACAACTTTTTGGGAGGATGAGAGAAACGGCTTCAGAAGGAAGTAAAGAGAAACCGAAAAGTGGACCAGCCTCGAGAGTGTGGTACCTGGCACAGATAATTAACAGCATGTGTAAACGTCAGAGACACGTACGTTACCTACGAGCGTCTTGGCGGTAAGGCTGGAAAGCGGGCTGGTCTGCGGAGGGCCATACCGTAGGAAGATCTAGCGTTTATCAGAGTTAGCACAAAGAAACCACACGGAAGTGCTAGACTACAGAAGTATTATGACCACAAGGAGGCATGAAAACAATCGTGTGGCTGAAGTGTGGAAGACAGACCGTACAGCGCCCCACACTCAGCTACTTCTTAATTCTACACGTAGCGTCTCACTCTCAACTCCTTAATCTGTGTAAGAAATTCTACGTTAACCACTTTTTTAAAACATGAGCTAGCACAGCGTCGTCAAAACAGCCAATTTCATAAACATACTCTCCCCTACGATCTAAACCCCCAATAAGCTTGCAGAAAACCCTATGGAATTGACTTCACACATTCTCATCTCCTCACACGCGGACATTAAATTATATATATTAATATTTGAGAGCAGTCCTTTAAAATCAGTTATAAACCTCATTACAATCCTCTCAACACTGTAATACACCCAGTTCAGCCTGTCACCTTTTCCTATCTACACTTACTCCTGTGCCGATTTCATGTGGTATCATGGATTTAAATACCGTCTCTAATGTCAAGAGCTCCCCAATTTCTATCTCCAGCCCAGGCTTCCCCAAACTCCCAATATCAACCTGCCTCCCGGACATCTCCACTTGTTCCACATCTAAAAGACATCCAAACTCAATGTATCTAAAACAGAACTACTACTCTTTACCCCAAAACAGACTCCCCCTCTTTCGACACCGCCAAGAACGGCCACTCTAGTCTTCCAGCTTCTCAGGCTAAAACCTTTGAAGTCACTTGGCCTCCCCTCTGTATCTCATACATCCTCCCATCTAAACCATCATAAAAATCCTGTCCACTCTCCCTTCAAAATGCATCCAGGAAACATTTATGCATATAAGAACCTAACTGCTTCTGGGCGCCTGGGTGGCTCAGTTGGTTGGGCGACTGCCTTCAGCTCAGGTCATGATCCTGGAGTTCCGGGATTGAGTCCCGCATTGGGCTCCCTGCTCAGCAGGGAGTCTGCTTCTCCCTCTGACCCTCCCCCCTCTCATGCTCTCTCTATCTCATTCCCTCTCTCAAATAAATAAATAAAATCTTTAAAAAAAAAAAAAAAAAAGAACCTAACTGCTTCTAACCACCTCCGGGGCTACTCTCTTGGTCAAAGTCATTACCATTCTTTGCGTGATTATTGTCAGAGCCTTTCTAGATTCCAGGTTCTGCTCTTACACTCCTTCAGTCTACGCTTAACAAAGAAGGCAGGACAGTCCTGCCAAAATAGATCTTCCACTGGAAACCCTTCAATGCCACCTCACTCAGAATAAAACCCACTTCCTTACCCTGACTTTCAAGTTCCACATGATCAGGATCCCACAGCCTCTCTAACCTGGGTCTTCTACTTCCCCGTCTTCCTGCTGTTCCACTCCAGCAACACTAGGCTCCTTGCGGTTCCTCCTACACATCACAGATGTCCCCATCTTCGGGAACCCTCTGCTCCTCATGCCCAGAGTGCTCTTCACCCAGATAGACAGATCCGCTGTTCCACTTCAAATCCTCGCATCAGTGTCACTTTTTCAACCACAATTAGCCTGTGTCCTCAAAGCCACCAACACACCGGGCACTCAAGACCCCCACTGGCCTTCCATGGGTGTCGAACGTTCTAATACGCAGTACAATTTCTTACGTGTGTCGTTTATTGCCTCTCCTTACCCAAACGAGACTCCGTAAGGGCAGGTGCTTTTATCTGTTCTGTTCACTAACCAATGGACGAATGAATCCTCGAACACAATAATTTGTTTTATATGAAACAGATACCAAATTCCAGTCTCTCATTCTCTAGGGGAAGAATCTAAGGACCAGTGTGTTTTCTGCGAAGTCAGAGTCAGTAAACGGCAGAGTCCAAAATAAAATCAGGCCTCTCTTTCCCACCAGGACACAGAGGTGGAACATAAGACAATACATATGAAAATAAATTTCAAAAACAAGCAGACACACATATAAACACACTGACACAGATACACAAACATTTTACATTAAAGTATTACCACTGCCAAGTAATAGTATTATGCAAGGTAATCACATACCTACAAACAAACTTTCATTACTTACCCCTACCCCAGATTCTTTTGAGGATATCGGTGTTACAGTTTCTTTGAATTTATTTGCCTTTTCAAGTTGAGCTTTAAGTCGTTCCGCTAATTCCTTCAAAGGGAAAAATAAGAAAAATGTGTCACATATAGTTTAATTCCTCAGTGTATAAATTCAAATTTATACGACAGAAGGGAAAAAAGCATAGTGAACACCCATGTGGCCATAACCTAAATTCAGTTACCAACTCACAGCCTGGTAAATTGCTTTTTAATGAATGTATCTCAGTTCCACACTTCTCAGATACCTGTGCCATTTGTTTATGGTTTGAAGGTAAATAATTACAAGGACATATACTCTAGGGGAGAGACAGGGGCATAGAGAAAATACCTAACCTTAAGAACGACATTTTGGGGGCACCTGGGTGGCTCAGTTAGTTGAGCGACCGCCTTCGGCTCAGGTCATGATCCCGGAGTCCTGGGATCAAGTCCCGCATCGGGCTCCCAGCTCAGCAGGGAGCCTGCTTTTCCCTCTGACCCTCTCCCCTCTCATGCTGTTTCTCTCTCTCTCTCAAATAAATAAAATCTTTAAAAAAAAAAAAGAACAACATTTTTATAATTCTTTTGATATTATAAACATCCATTACTCAAAATTTCAGTTATTGTAACAAGAAATCCTTAACAAGATTTAAAATAGTACTTTCTGTATTGTTGGGTAATTTAAATAAGAACTCTGAATATATTTCATTTTTATTCTAGGAAGTCTATAGAAATTTGTATAAGATAACTGACACATGAAAAAATAAATTAAACAAATAGAAGTATATGACAAGCAAAGAAGAGTATTCTCCACTGCAGGGGTTCCATGACCAAAGGAACACTTCTTTTAACATAAATTAACCTAACTTGGTGACCTCTCCTTCATTATTTCAAACTAATTCCTTTGTGCTCTCAAAACTCAAACTTTATTTTCTGCTATTATTATTGTTTTTGTTGGTTTGTCTCTCTTATCTGGGCTGAGCTGAAGTTCAGTGTTACCAAAGTCCAGATTCGAAGAGAAAGAGCAACATCTGCAAGATATGCTTTTTATTAGACAAACAATCTAATAAAAACAGAAGCATCTTGTTTGGCCACCTTGTATTCTATTGAACAGTGCCATACTGACAGTACAACCAAAGGGAAGATCACTTCAAGCTCACTGATGTTTGGGTTTGTGACGAGTACATTCCTATGAGGGAATCGATTCTGTCAAGACATGCGAAGCTGTCTGGCTTCGCTATCCTGCCATGCACGACTTAACATGTACCAGAAATGCGACGCTCTAACACATAAATAATCGATAAATAGAGATAGGTTGTAGCTCTCACCAAATCCTCCCCACTTTCTACTGAATTCTGGGGTAAATCAGTCTTAAATCGTAACACTATTACGGAAATTAAATGAGCTAACCTATACAAAGCATCTAACACTTATCAGGCATAAACATATTCCATTAAAATTTGGACAAATGAATTAACCGTCTTTTTTGGAAGCTCATTTGTTAGGTTCCTAAGTAAGGGAATCTAAGAAAGCAATACACATTCTTAATAACATGTGACTAAAACAGGGAAAGAAGACAATGACATCTTCATCTCCCTCAAATATGCTACACTAAAATTGCAAAGTAGAAAGGAAATTTTAAAAACATTTTGTTCCCTAGGATCTTAATTTTCAAAAATCTGACAGGAAAAGTAGACACTTTATTTAGAATGGACAAAACTGTTTTTAGAAATGTTCAAGAATTTCTTTAAAGAATCAATAAGCAGCAGTTATTTTTCATACTGTGCTATATCCACACTTGAAGAAACTTCCAAAATTACTTGTAAGAAGTTAAAGAGTTAATTTCTATTCTCCTAAGAATGACACAGAAGACTTACCATATTTCCCATCATCTCTGCCTTGATAATCCTGGCTCCCAATTTATTCTTCTCATCAACACTCAAGATGTGGATGGAATCATCCTCAGGACCACCTCTGCTTGAACAAGACAGATTAAGAGCATATGAAATATAGGGACACTGCAAGTAACGACATCAAGACTCAAATGTTATTTTAATTGACCTCAACAAAATACTTAGGACCAATAGATCATGATTCTAAAACCTTAAAAACAAAACAAACAAACAAAAACCAAAGCTTCAATGATTCACCAAAAATCAACAGTTTAAGGTTCTCTGTGAGAATGCCGCAATGGCCTATGGCAGTTATAATAATGACTGACCAAAGTCCCAGCAACAATGAGATAAATAATATGTCAACTATTCTTTACTAATATTTCCATACTCATTTTAAAAAGGAAACAAACAAAAGAAAATTAAAACACTAGAATCAGGCCATAATTCTACATGGCTGGGGCAATTCTTGTTTGGTGTGATAATTACTTAAGAAACTGTAACCAGGAAATGACATATTTAACTGCATTCAAAGAATAAAAATAATGACCATATGTTCTTTTGCAAAATAAACCCTGAATAACTCAAACAACGTAAACTAATTTATAACTAAGATCATGTGCCAAACCAATACCCTGAAGACAAGAGAAATTTCCAGCCAAGGTTAGAAACCTGGCATATAAGAAGTCCTTATGAAAGATTCCTGCAGGGCAGGCAAGGGGCATGTAGGCCGAGCCTGAAGGACTCCTTAGCGAAAGAGACATAGCTAAGACTTGAGAACTCCAAGGCAACCAGAGGGAGGAGAAAACTGCACAGTGAGAGAACTGCAGAAAAGTGTGGAGAGTTCCCCTTAAATATTCAGCAAGAAACTACCCGTAGTCGGGGAAAGCACCATCCCAAAGATTAGAGGAACAGTATTCAGCATTCTGGGAACAGTGCCTGGTCCCACTAACCAGTCTAGCAAAAGTCATAATTCAGAAAGCACGGGGTAAAGTATTAAGGGTCTTTCTTCATTACTGGGAAATTATAAACTCTAGAATAAATGTTGATCTAAGCCCACTGAACCAATGTTAAAAGCAAGAGTCTAAAGGAGCAAACAGTTTCCAACTAACCTAACCATGTCGCCCCAGGACAAAGCTCAAGAATATTTACCAGAATGAAAAAATATTCAGCACTCAACAAGGTAAAATTCATGATATCTAGTATCCAACCAAAGACTACCAGACATGAAAAGACAGAGAAAAATAAGACCCACAATTAGGGGGAAAAATTATCAATCAAAATCAACTCAGAACTGATTCAGATGTAAGAAACTGCAGATAAGAACAGTAAAAGCTATTATTGTAACTGTATTCCATATGTTTGAAAAGTTACAAACAACTAAGATATAAAATAGATCAGAACTGAACTTCTACAGTTGAAAACTACAATGTCTGAGATAAAAAAATACACTAGACAGGGTTCATGGAAGATTAAACTGCAAAGAAAAAATTTGTGAACTTGAAACCTTAGGAACCATGCAAAATGAAACAAAAGAGAGAAAAATAATTTTAAAAAATAAAAAGAGCCTCAGAGCTATGAGACAACCTTAAATACCCTTCTGTTCACGTCACTGGAGATCCTGGAAGAAAGAATGGGAGACAGAAGACACAAAGGCCAAATGTTCCTAATTTACCAAAAACTAAAACACTTGGAGAACCAAGAATCTCAGGGAATCCCAAACACGTAGGCGCACGCGCGCGCGCACACACACACACAAAATATCTACATCAGGGCACATCATAATCAAATTGCTCAAAACTAGTGATAAAGAGAACACTTTTAAAGCAGCCATAGTGGGAAGAAAAAGAAAGACACTTAGGCACAGAGAAACAATTAAGTGCGACAGCAGATTTCTCATCAGAAACAATCCAAGCAAGAACAGCAACACCTGCACGGTACTTTGAACTGTCAACTGAGAATTCTTTATCACGTGAAGATATCTTTTTTGAATGTTAAAGAAAAGCCTTCAGGCAGAAGAAAAATCATACCAGACTGAAATATGGATCAACCCAAAGGAAGGAAGAGCAACAGAAATGATGACTACAAGGGTAAATACATAACACTTTTTCTTATTACATAAATCTCTTTCAACTAACTATTCATAGTAACAACATGAGAGGTTTATAACAAGGATAAGTGAAATATATGACAACGCTAACAGAAAGGACAGGAGGGGGTAAATGTAAATAAACTATCGTAAAGTTCTTATACCATACAACAGTGGCGTAATACCACCTGAAGTTGGGTAAGTCAAAGATGTATACTATCAAATATAAAGAAGCCATTAAAATAACACCAAAAAAATTATAACAAAAGAAATGAAATAGAATCATAAAAATACGCAATCTAAAATAAGTCAGATATGGGACGCCTGGGTGGCTCAGTCGGTTAAGCATCTGCCTTCGGCTCAGATCATGATCCCAGCGTCCTGGAATCGAGCAGGGAGCCTGATCCCACCTCTGCCTGCCGCTACCCCTGCTTGTGCTCTCTCTCTGACAAATAAAATCTTTAAAAAATAAATACAATGAAATAAAATAAGTCAGATAAAGAGGGAAAAGAGAAAAAAGAACAGATAGGACAAGCAGAAAACAAGTATCAAAATTACAGATTTAAGCCTTATTATATCACATTATATATAAATGATCTAACCATCTGAATTAAAAGGTAAAACTGTCAGACAAAAGAGCAAAACTCAACAGTAAGAAATATACTACAAAGACATAAATATGTTAAACATAAAAGGGTGGAAAAAGATATATCGTTTTAACACTAGTCAAAAAAAAGTGAAGTGGCTTCTTTAAAATCAAATTATATTACAGAGCAATATTACCAGGGCCAAGAAAGCTTTTTCATTTCAGATGAAAAAGAGGTCAATCCATCAAGAGTACAGAAGAATCCCTAAATGTTTATGCATGTATTAAGAGAGCTTCAAAATACATAAAGCAAAAACTGATAAAATTGCAAACAGAAACAGCCTAATTTACAACTATAGTTACAGATTTCAAGACCCTACTCTCAATATTCAATGGAATAAATATATTCTTCAAGGATATGGAAGACTTAATAACACTAACAACTAACATGACCTAATGAACATAGAATACTCTACCCAGCAACAGAATACACATTCTTTCCTAGTGCATAGCAACATTTACCAAGAGAGACCATATTCTGAGCCATATAACAAGTCTCAATAAACTTAAAGGGATTTAAGTCATATAACTATGTTCTCTAACCCCCATGATATCATTAACAAAGATCTCTGGAAAATCCTCAACTATTTGGAAACTAAAAAGCATATCTGCAAATAACCCACGGTCAAGAATAAAATCAAAGAGAAATTAAAAAGTATTTCAAACTGAATAAAAATATAAACGTAATATATCAGAATTTATAGGATTCTACTCAAGTATTACTTAGGGAGAAATTTATAACTCTAAATGCTTATATTAGAAAAGAAAAAAAGATCTCAAATCCATGATCTCAGCTTACAACTTAAGAAAGTAGAAAAAGAAGAGCAAATTAAACCCAAGTAAGCAGAACATAAGAAATAATAAAAATCAGAGTGGAAATAAGTAAAAAAACAGAAAAATAAATTCACTGAAACCAAAGCTGGCTAGGACAATCAATGAAATCAGTAAACCTCTAGCTGAACTAATTAGGGAGGGAAAAGATACAAATTACCAAGAAAGAAATGAGAGAAGCAAAATCACTACACATTTTATTTTTTTAAAAGATTTTTATTTATTTATTGAGAGAGAGAGAGAGAATGAGAGAGAGAGAAAGCACGTGAGATGGGGGGAGGGTCCGAGGGAGAAGCAGACTCCCCGCCGAGCAGGGAGCCCGATGCGGGACTCGATCTTGGGACTCCAGGATCATGACCTGAGCTGAAGGCAGTCGCTTAACCAACTGAGCCACCCAGGCGCCCCTGATTCTGTTTTTCATACATGATGCATAAGTGAAGTATGTTATCCCCAGATGACATCCGTGCCCTGATAAACCTATAAAATTGCTCTTGTGTTTAACCGTCTTCACACCCTAGAGATATAAAAACTGAATGATATGAAGGAGAATAGGAAATCTATAGATTTCCTAATACTATTGGTTTCACTGTCCTAGGCTATGGAAGGAAGAGTATAAGTGGGCCAAAGCCTGATGTTAGCTAACTGAGCTTTATCAAGAGAAGTTCAGGGCACCTGCGTGGCTCAGATGGATAAGCGTCTGCCTTCGGCTCAGGTCATGATCCCAGAGTCCTGGGATCGAGTCCCGCATCAGGCTCCCTGCTCTTTGG